TGTGTGTGTGTGCGTGTGTTTGTGTGTGTGGTGTGTGTGTATGTGTTTGTGTGTGTGTGTGCATGTGTGTGTGTGTGTATGTGTTTGTGTGTGTGTGTGTGTGTGCATGTGTGTGTGTGTGTGTGTGTGTGGTGTGTGCCAGCAGGGGGTGACAGTGGACCCTCATTACCTCTCTGTACATACCCCAGTGTGTCGCTGTGAAAACCACTCCACAGGATGGAGGATTCCCTAACACCCCACAGCTGTGGCTGTCGGCAGTGTGAACACCTGCTTTTTCCTCCTTTGAACGTTTCCTAACTTTCAAAGTGAATAAATACGTGCAAATGGCATCCCCCCAACTGGAAACAGTCCCCGCAGGAAAAGCAGGGGGACAGTCACCCCATGGGATCTCCAAACATTCCACGTGGCTGCTAAGGGATCCCCCAGCTCATGTTCTTCACCCTGGGAACCGGATCGCCTACTGAGAAGCTCCCACCATCGTTATGACCGAGGTCTCAGCTCCCAAAAGCTGGGCCACTTAGGGCTGAGGTCAAACAGCATGTCTTTGTACAGTGTGTGGAGCAGCGGCTCAGCTTTCTGGGTGTAGTTAGGGATATTGACCACTAGATGGAGACTGGACAAATAAGGAAACCCAGCAGCCTGCTACTGTGACGTCGCCTGTGTTTATTTACCGTGTGGCTGGTTCCTGTGTGGATCCTGTTTGTCTCACCTGTCATACCACGTGGTATTTAAAGGCCTCAGCTGGTCTGGAGGCACTGAGAGGAACAGAAACAAACTGTTTCCTGTTTTTTTTTCCTGTTTCAAGTTGATGTGGGGGATCAGATGGGGGTGGGTGGTTGGGGGACAGCTGTAGGTTCCTCACAGGTCTTGTGTCCATGTGATGAGGCCATGACCTTTGACCCTGCGTGATTATTCAGTGTATGACAGATGGGCATCTGGGGTATTCAGGGCCCACACTTGATGCTGATGGCCACTTTGTTCCCTCTGCCCGCCCACGACACCTGATCCCAGACCTGTAACACTACAGCCAGGAGCCAGGGCCAATGCGGCCACCGTACAGACATTCACGTTTCTGAGCTTTTCGGAAATTCAAGGTGAAGGGCATGTTCCGCCCTACTGAGTGCCAAACTGTATACGCCCCTGTGTTTCTCATATGGGGTTGGAGGTCCGTTCAGGCCAGAGGGGCCTGCAAATAGGGATCTGGCCTGACTAATCCATAGTGACTTCAGCTCAGCCTGAGTCACAGTGTCACTGTACTTTGACATGCTGGGATGCACATCCTTTTCCAGTAAATTAAGGAATGGTGGTCCTGGCATCTTGGATAAAACACCCTCCATGCCCCCATTAAGACGTCCCACTACAGTCAGAGCCATAAGGTTGTCAGCATGGTGGTCTTCTGGTGACCTCAGAGTGAAGGCTTCTGAGATGGTGCTCTGTAGCTGCTCTGAGCTGAACTTGATGAGATGTGGAACAGTCACCCAGGTGTCCACACTGGCTTCTGCACTTCTGCGTCTTCTCTGAGCAGTATGAAGGACAGCCATTTGCCTGAATATGGCTCTGTCTCATCGACACGTTGGAAAGACAGGGAAACCTTCAGGTGACGTGGGTGCTGTGACACTCTGATACTGAATTTGCGCTTGGCAGTGATTCATTTAACTTGTGAAGCATTCATGCTTTTGATGGAGAGGGTGGAATGGTATTCGCCATATTAGTTAGTTTCGAATAAAGAATAATTCCATTCCTTTTTCATTGTCTCCCCAAAACCAGCAGGCTGGTTGTTTATGTTTTGATATTATATAGACATTGGAGGTATGCAACCTTATAAAAGTGGGCAAAGCAGTGAAGAGAAAAATTTATGGATTGGTATTGAAGAGTACCGTCTTTGATTATGATTTCGGTTAGCCATAGTAGAGAGCCTGATTCGTTGTAAAAGCGTTTTTTTTTGTACTTTATTCCTACTTCTGTATGTTACTTTTTTCCATTTCCATTCTGTTGTGACTGGCCGAACATGTAGGTTTTAGGATGTGGTATTTTTGGTCACGCTGTGTGACTCTTAGATGTTGTGTTGCCTCAAGTTTGCCATTATGAGTAGTTTTATGTCCCGTAATAAGACATATTTATTTTCACAATAAGGTGTGTAACTAGGATATGAATGAGCACACATCAGCGAAAAGCATATGGCAAGAGGTGATTTACTGGTGTTTCATAGTGATCATCGCCGATTATGGGAAAGTTACCTTGAGTAAATTTGCGTAATTAAATCTGCTTTATGGATGACCATATGGGACACAATTTTTACAGAAGAGTTCTGATAGATTACAGTTAAAATAAGTCCCGCATTTTGTAAGTTTGGGAATTTCTTTCTGAACATGAACACCAAGACAATAATAGCTATTCTTTTCACATTACATGTTCTGAAACAAAACAAATATTGGTTTGAATTTTTGAAAGCCGGCCCTACATGATATGACGTTTGTCACAACTGCATCTCAGCTATGGCAACTAATTATTTTGAGGTTCTGATTTCAGTTTGTCCTCTTCATTAATAGGGGTGTTTAAATCTATGCACAGAAGTCTAAACACAATTATATGCTTTCCTGTTCCCACTTTACCAGTGTTAAGCTATCAAATGCGTACTGAAAGATATCTATAATTTTCTTAATTAAATGAAGCTATATAATGGATTACTTTGAAAGAAATAATTAGATGGTTCTATTTTTTATGGTTCTTCAAAATATTTTTGTTTAATTTTTATAACTAAAAAACCTAAAGTTAATGGCTTTTTAAGAGTGCCGATTCCCCCACCCCGGGGGCCTGATTTCTCTCTTACGCTTCAGTTTATCTTAAATCCACAGCACAGGTTAAATCACCACTAATTTGATATATCCAGAAAGTTATTTTGAAATGTTAAATTACCCACTTAGTTACTGACAACAAACCAGTTTCAATGATAACAAATGATAACACAAGCTAAGTGTTTTTGGCAATATTTCAAGGAACGGATGTGTGTGCTGTACATTGCCCTTCAGTGTACACTAATGTCAGTTATACAGTTACACATAAAAGTATTTTGGGATTCTGATTCATTGTGTCTGCTGGATTTTTAAGTGATTGAATGGCCCTGCAAATGCAAAAATATCAAACTAAATAACTTAGCTTGTGTTTGTAGCCTTTTCTTTTGTTTACTAATGACTGTTCTGTGGCACAAAAAAAAATGTGGCACTAGTTTAATTTGTATTTATAACCAAAAGAAATGTAACAAGCTGTGGGGCGATTGGTGAGCTGGGGGAAAATCGGGCCGTGGGCTAAAAAGAAGCACGGAACTCGGTGACACGATTTACATTCTGTAGAGATTTGATTCACTTCAGCTTGAGCACTGTGATCTAACAAAAGAAAAGTATATTTCTACTCATTGTTTGATGTTTCTATTGTAGTATAAAAAGAATAAATGTCATATTTGGGAAGAATAAATGTGCTGGGAACCACATTTCCAAATGCCTCGTGTCTTTTTTTTTACAATAGTTTTCTGACAAAATCAGTATTAGAATCAAAATCAGAAAAAACTTTATTGATCCCACAGGGAAATTGCTTATGCTAAAACTGCAAAATAAGCCCAAATGTAATGGTACTTATGGATAAACATTTAAACTCTCAAAATCACAACTCTATGGGGATTTGTTACCAGCATAGTGGAAAATACCCTGCCACTTATCCAGAGGCCAGAGGCACACATAGAGTTACAGTACAGGCGAATGTTTAAGGATGCAGGAAATTATTGGAAATGTAAATAAACTAAAAATGGGTTTTACCATCAAGTACAGACAGGGGTCTCTGAGGGGCTTGGATTCCCGGGCAGACTGGGGGGGCTCAGCACTTGACAGGGGAATTTGAAAAGACAAAATTATAAAATAAAAGTACTAGATGGGGAGGGTCCACAGCCCGGTGAGATGACTCTCAATTCAGAATTTGGTGTAACAACATGAAAGCATTGATCCATCCTGCCTTGTATCAACAAATCAGGCTGCTGGTGGTGTAATGGTGTGGGGGATATTATCTTGGCACACTTTGGGCCCTTTAGTACCAATTGAGCTTAGTTTAAATGCCACAGCCTACCTGAGTATTGCTGCTGACCACGTCCATCCCTGTATGACCACAGCCTACCTGAGTATTTCTGCTGACCATGTCCATCCCTGTATGACCACAGTGCACCCAGCTTCTAATGACTACTTCAAGCAGGATAAGACACCATGTCACAAAACTCATATCATCTCGGACTGGTTTGTTGAACATGACCATGAGATCACTGCACTCAGATGGCCTCCACAGTCACCAGATTCAGTCACTCAGTCCAATAGAGCACCTGTGGGATGTGGTGGATGGGAGAGTCACATCATGAAGGTGCAACTGACAGATCTGCCATGAAGATCTAATCTATGTAAGATCACCTACTGTGCTATTGTTTCCTGTTTTTTTTTTGCAGAATTTGGAAGAAAGTAAGAACTTCATTGCATAGACAATGGGGGGGTTAGGATAAATCCAAGGGCCCCCAAGTCACAAGGGCCCTAAAAATTTGTAAAATTATTGGGTTGGGAGCCCAGTATGACATGCTTCTATAGGACCCAGAATCTCTAGCTGCTTCCAGGTCAGAAGTAATTTTGAAGTTAGTGAGAATGTGAGTGTAAAATTAGTGAGAATGTTCTGAAGAACTGGGTCGGCATAGTGGTACAGTAGTCAGCACCTTCACTTCACGCCTCTGGGACCTGGGTTCGACTCTCCGCCAGGATGTGTGTGGAGTTTGCATGTCCTTCTGGTGTTGTTGTGGGATTTCCTCTGGGTCTCAGTGTTACCCCCACAATCATGGTGATGCTAATCGGAGTTACCAAGTGTAACTGTGCCCTACAATGGGTTGGTGCCCCCTCCTTGGTCATTCCCTGCCTTGTATCCATAAGCTCTAGATGCCCTCACCCTAAATAAGACAAACAGTTCCACAAAATGGATAGATGGGTCTTAAAGAAAAGGCGTTAAATACACTAAAGAAGTTTATGTAGTGATTTTTTAATCTTAAGAAATCATAGCTGGCCTGTAAAGAATAAGATTTCATACTTTAGCACATCTTATGTTTCACTATTAATTAAGAAAAAACATCATGAAAAATATTTAATAATGACCCATATAAGCCGAATAGCATAGGCTCAAAAGTGCCATGCGTCCCGGCTATAAGTTTGCGCATGTGTTGCCTTTAAAGACCCAGCTTTTCCCTTTTTGGTTTTGGAGAGTCAGCAGCCCGCGCCCATACCGAAAGGTGCTGAGTGCGTACAGCCATTCATGTCAGCGAGCAGAAGGGCCGCGTATCATGCCGGCAGATGGGACTTTATAGAGGCGCTTTTATTCTATCGGAACGCGTTAAGGTGAGCTGGCCGGAACAGGGCGACGATTCCCGTATCAAAGTAACCCGCGAATCTAAAGGCGTGAACAATGAGCCGCACCGAGGTACGTGCAGACGTGCTGCCACCCCTTTCATACTAACTCTGGGTTGCGTGGGTCTGTTGCTGCCTTTTGCCGCATTTTGTGAAATGGAAGAAAGTCGAACGAATGATATCGCAAGAGAAAAACAAGAAAGTGTAAAATTTCTGAATATTTAGTTGAAATTTTATAAGATACACAATTATTATGTATCCAAACAAAATTAAAGAAGAAACAATGTGCAGTCGTTTTTCAATTTTTGATTTACAATTCTTTATGGAATTGATCCATCAGTAATGAATAATAAAATAACTAAAATGTGTAAGATCTTTAATAATAAGACCTTTGCCTTATTACAACTTAAGAGCTGGATTAATGTACTCTCAGGACTTTGGATTTATATTTAACTTTTATGAGATTTTATTTTATAATTATTATGAGAATGGGATGTGTTATGTAAAATTAATGGATTAGAGTAATCCTGGCCTGCAGTTCCCGCTTCAGCCACACGGGGGATCTCCGTGATTGTGATCAGAGCTGAGCCAACAAACGGCAAAGGATTTGTTTGTGTCCTAAAATAAATCATGTCACAAGTGTTTTAGAGGTCTGTTTCACGAAGAATACCAGTTAATTGGTTTATTATTTAAGATTACATTGGTGACTTGCTAAACGAAATATCAAAAAATGCAAAAAGAAATTAAACTTTTGAGCAACTTAATGAAATTTCTTAGAAATATATTTATGTCTGGATGATTGCGTGCATGTGTTTGTATACCAGGTGTACTCAGTGTGCAGTGCCTGGGTATGTATGTTTGTATGATTTCTGTTCAGGTGTGACATGTTCACATAGTGTATGGCATTCACAGCCGTGTATCGATATAGACGTTTACAGCAGCAAGTGTGTCTGTCCAGCAGGATGGCGGACAGCGGTACACACACCTGTGGGCGAGGCTGAGGCGGCAGTGGAGGATGCTGGGATTGTTTGAGATTGATCCCCAGCACAAGTATTACAGCCTCACCTGCGTAATGAAGGAGGGTCTGTCTGCTGCAGTGCAGGACGCCATCGACCGGCCGCCTCCCATGAGCACAGCACTCTCCAGCCACACACCCTCACACACACACTCTCCAGCCACACACCCTCACACACACACTCTCCAGCCACACACCCTCACACACACACTCTCCAGCCA